TTCCAGAGGGGAAGGTCTCTAGGCTGTTCCCCAACCCACATGGTGAATCTCTGAGGCAAGAAAATCCGCCAATAAGCACAGGACCCACCAAGATAGAGGAGGAACTTTGTCACTATATATATATAGACAAATGAAGTCTAGAGAAGAACAAAAATGATAAAGGGGCTGGAAGCATTGACTTGCAAAGGTTCTTTCAGTCTAAAAATAAATAAATCAGTGCATATCCAATATGAATGCCAGAAGGTTTATATTTTGGATTAAGTCTCAAAATTGCAATATATAAATCTCTGGCATTGATATTGGATATGCAGTGAGCTCTAAAAGCCACTCATAGTTTAACATTGTCATAACTACTGTACACTTTTGATGATAATAATGTGTTTGTCCGTTCAAGCTATTTGACAATATATTTCCATTCTAAATTCTTTCACCCTTTTTTTCATGTAGATTGAAACAAGATCAAAAGTATGTACGTGATGAAATTGGCAAAGTTCTGGAGCGGGAGCGGGCTGCTTCAAATGAGCATTTGACTAGAGCCATTCTTAGAGAGAGAGCTGCGACAGAGGAGGAACGCCTGAAGACACAGCATTTTGTAAGTGCAATAAGTTTTTTATGTAAATTTGAAGGTTTAAAAACAAATGTCAATGTCCTAACATTTTTATGCTTTTGGCAAACTCTTTTGTAAAACGTAGGAAGTAGAATGTTTCTATCCTCCAGTAGTGCTTTTCCTCTTTAGCAAATACGGTTATTATCAGAAAATTTCTTCTCTTTGCCCTGTTAATATCACAGCTGCTTTAAAACCATCACGTCCTTTTTTAATGTCACAAGGATGTCACTTTTTGGGAGAAAACTTTTATGTGGGGAGAGCATTCAAATAACTAAGATTCTAGCCTGATTCATTTTCAGTATTTAAGTGTTCAGAGATCTGGTTAGATTATGTGATATTAAATTACTGAATACTTTGTCACAAACATATATATATATATATATATATATATATATATA